GGGGGAGGGAGTGGGGGGAGCCAGGCGGGGAGGAGGGGAGCTGGCAGCGGAGGTTTGAATAGGGAAGTTTTGCAGGGGTTACGTTTGCAGTCAGTCCGGTGTTTGCAAATATTGTGTGGGCTCGGGAGCGCGTCTCTAGGCTCCGGCAGGATCCGAACCCGCGGCGCCTAATTGCTGTGCACTGAGTTTGCATGAAACTTTCCCGGCGCTGCAGGCACGGCCGCTGCGCTCCCGACTCCAGACCGCACACCTCCCTGTTTGTACGACAGCCGGGACTGTCTTTTCCAACCCGACATGGATGTACTCCCAATGTGCGGCATCTTCCAGGAACTCCAGATTGTGCACGAGACCGGGTACTTCTCGGCGCTGCCCTCCCTGGAGGAATACTGGCAACAGGTAAATAGGAATGGTCGTGTGCCAGGTGCCCCGGTGCGCCGCGGAGGGAGTGCATGCACGCTCGGACAGGACGGTGTGTGGTTGGAGGTGCATTTGTTTTTCTTTTTTTTTTTTCTATTTTTTTTATGGTTTGGGTGAATTTATTTTTTTAAAAATTAAATCGTCTTAAAACGTACTTCTGCTGCCTCCGGTGCGGAAGGCACGTTAAAACGGTTTTTTTTCAGCGTGCAGCGGAGTTGTCATTGGAGCGGGGCGCAACAGCGCTTCTTCGCTCCGAGTATTTTTGCCCGTTTCTGGGCCTTCTGAACCGGAGGGCAGACCCAGCTCCGCGGCCTGATCCCGGCCCGAGCCCTTGGCAGAAGTTTGGTGCTTGTACCAGCTCCAGACTCCACAGCTGGATCTTGTCATATGAACTTGCGTGGATGCCAAGGGTATTTTTTTTTTAAGGGGTTTGTTTTTGTTTTCCTTTTTGGCGTTTCTACATAGAATTTTTTTCTCAATTAAAAATTTCACCAGGAAAACATCCACCAGCTCCTTTCCCTGCCAGGCCATTTCCAGTTATTTCTTTGGAATCCCTAACATTTGACTCTATCTGTCTTGTTTTTCCTACCTGCTTCTTTTGTTGACCAGAAAAAAAAAAAAGAAAAAGAAAAAGAAAAAAAAAAATGTTTGCACAACCAGTGACTGACTTATCGGTCATATGACAATGAGCCTGCCCCAGTTGCTTCAAGTCTGAGGTTGGGAAGAAGAGCCTTGATTTCCGGCATATTTTAGTGGAACTGGAATTTTTGGCATTCGACAATTATGAAACTTAATTTCCACACCTTCTAATTTGTTAGAATTGCCTAAAGGGAGAGAGATTCTGACACTTGTCCCATTGTCTTTAAGAAGATAGAGGGCGGGTTTGGGGGGCTGTCTCTCTGCCCTTCAAAACTGTTTGCTTTTTATCACCAAGTGAATTAGCTGACCAAATATATTCTGTGGGTTCGAAAGCCTAGAAAGCTTTTAAGAGGGATGAAATGCAAAGTGTGGCAACCTTCACAAGCCTGCTTAATTGTTCGCAGCCCAGTCTTGCCTTCCCCTCCCTTCCTCCCTTTTCCTCCTTAAGAAGCTGCTCCCAGGGACGTGACTGAAATTGATCTAAGTAGTTTCCTTGGGCATTTGGGATTTGGGCCACAAGCCAGGCGGTGCTGCTCCTTGCCTTCAGAGGCTTTCAGACTCTCCGAGGGCTTCCTTCTGGTCCTCGGCGTTCACCAGCATAATGGAGATTTTAAATTAGCCAGATTATTAAAGTTTAGCAAGATCTCGATAAATGTGCTTTCGTTTTCCTTTCGAACATCAATAAACGAGCTAGGCGTCTCTCTTCAGAACACTCCAGTGTGTGTTGTAACCCAGACGTCTAATTTTAGGGATCGGGAGAAAACAGTGGTTGTTTTTCCCCCTTTGCTTGCTCATGCTTGCTCTGTGAGGAGTCTGGGGGAGGGGGAAGGGTACGTGCTATATTCCGATAGCAGGCACGTTGCTAAGTAAGCAGGCAAGAACCCTTTGGGGAGGCTTTGCTAGTCCCGAAAATGATTTGCTAAAATCGAACAGAGTGTGCCGTAGAAATGTAAATCTGTAAGATTGCGGTCATGTGGACGACCTTATATGGCCATGCAGGCACTTGCTTCTAGTGAAGATGAGGACAGATGCAATTTAATTCTGAAACGTTTCCTACCGTTTTTCTTTTCCAGTGGCTAGAAAGTTTGAGATGGTGGGGAGAGGGGATGCTGGTCCCTCCGGACAGTGGTAGCTTCTCCAAAGGTTGGTTGTGGGTCTGAGGAGGGGGCACTCTGTCCGTGACTCACTGCATGTCTATTTGAACCGGGTCCTTTTTGGCTGCTGGTCAGAATTTCAAAAGGAAGTCTCCTCTGGCATTGCGTGAAAGAAACAGTGATGACTCATGCAGTTGTACTCTTGGCCAGCAGATGAAGTTCTTGTCCATTGTGGCACTCCCAGCAGGCCCGGAGGAATTTCCCCTCCTGCCTCCTTTTCAATAGCAGATGGCTGTTCTGGAATGGTTTCTCCACGCTGTTGTCGAAGCGCTTGTTTTTCTCGGGCCGCTGTGGAAGTCATCACAGCGAGCGCGCGCAGGGCCCTGCGCTGGGGGATGCGTCCTGGGAGAGCCCACCCCCCGGGCCCGGGCTGCGCAGGAAATGGGTGCTCTCTGTGCGGTTTCTGTGCGGCTGCACTGAGGGCCCTGACTGCAGACCTGCAGCAGGCCGTGTCTGCGAAGGGCGACGCATGCAGTCAGCACACGTCGCGCCGTGAGCGGAGCAGGCTTTCTGTCTTGGGCGTGTGAAGGGAAACTGGCTGGGGCTTTTCTTGATGCACATGGCTCTCCAGACGGTCAGATGATCCTGCCGAACCTGTCCGGGTGTGTGTCCGAGGCGGCTTGGCTTCGTGTGGCTTACCCTCGATAGGAAAGTCAACACTAGTAACTAGAACCGAAACTGCCTCGGTGACCGTCCGCCATCGTGGCCTTTGGTCCACAGTGGGGCAGCCAGGAGAGGTCCCCCGCTGGTGTTTCTTCCGAATCCACGCCCCCTCCGAGAAACAGCTTTCCCCTCGCTCTCTTGGAGATGCGGTTCTTCTGGTGACAGCCAGTCTGTCTGCCCTTCATCCCTTCGTGTTTTCGGAGATGTGCTTTTGGTTCCATTTTCGGGTGTCGTAACCACGTGCCTTCTTGTGGTTCCTTTCACGCAGACCTGCCTGGAGTTGGAACGGTACCTGCAGAGTGAACCCTGCTATGTGTCAGCCTCCGAAATCAAATTCGAAAGCCAGGAAGATCTGTGGGCCAAGCTCATCCTGGCTCGGGAGAAGAAGGAGGATCCGGAGGTGCAGGTGTCCTCCAGCCCCCCAGAGGATGCGCTCAGCAGCCCCGGCTTTGGTTACAACCTGGAGACCAACAGCTTGCACTCAGACGTGAGCAGCGAGTCCTCTGACAGCTCCGAGGAACTCTCACCCACTTCCAAGTTCACCTCCGACCCCATCGGCGAAGCGCTGGTCAGCTCTGGGACCCTGAGCTCCTCGGTCACCTCCACGCCGCCCTCTTCCCCAGAACTCAGCAGAGACCCTTCTCACCTGTGGGGCTGTGCACCCGGTGAGCCACGCCCTCCTGGGAAGATGCGCAGTGGGACTTCTGGGAAGCCTGGTGACAAGGGCAGCGGGGACGCCTCCCCGGATGGCCGCAGGAGGGTGCATCGGTGCCACTTTAATGGCTGCAGAAAAGTTTACACCAAAAGCTCCCACTTGAAAGCACATCAGCGCACTCACACAGGTCAGTCCCTCCCGCGACCTGGGAGGTGGGCCGCTGGTGGGCGCCACGGAATTGCACCAGCCCTGGGAGGGGGCCGGGCCCCACGGAAGGCTGTCAGAGCAGACACATCCTCACCTCATTCTTTCCCCAAAGAGTTGGGTCTCTGGGGAAGACAGAGTAGGAGGTGAAAGACTGGACATGTGCCCGATGAATGGTTG